CAGCTACATCTGCCATTAAGGGGTTTCGATCTCTTCGACATAGAGCCTCCACTGCTAATTTGACAGGTGTTAGTGATGATATTGCATCATTAATTTTACGGAAAATAAAAATTTATAAAAATACGAAAATACCGAAAAATACCGGTATTGTGGAAAAAATACCGGTATTAAAATTTGACAAAAATCGGTCGGGATCCCGGTATCGGTATTACCGGGATTTCGTTATTCCGAACCCTATATGGAATTGAAAATAGAAAAACTATGGTCACAGCACTCAACTAGACATTTTAGCAGCCAAACTTATTTTCAGTTATAACTTTGCAATGCTGTATCCCAAAATTTTGATTTTCTAGAAAAACAACTAGAACAATAAAGAAAATCTGATTTTTCCAATAATGGTTTTAATAAATGACGTTTTTTGCCGAGTTTTTATTTTTTTTATTTGCCGCTTTTGAACAATGTTGAACAACTCTAGAACAATCTTGGGGGGTAACTTCCCGCACTCGATTTTACAAACATTTTATATTGTTAAATAGACAAATTTAAATCTAACCTTATTACGTTTGATTTAAATTTTAAATTATAACAAGAATACTTTGTCATTTTCAAATTACAAATCCTCATTAAAATACAATACATTTTAATCAGTAACAACCCATTACTTCTTATCAGTTCTATTATAAAAAAAACAAAAATTCCATTTTCCTTTTTTACAGTTTTTGTGAAATGTACTTCTTAAAAACTGTTGTATAAACCGTTATTATTGGGAATTTCAATTAACTTTTTACGTTAACAGAATTAAATACGGAAACAGTAACTTTTTGGTTTTAACTTTAGTTAGACTTCCGTCTCCGGTCCGTCGGCTGATCGATCCGACGTCGTCGCCCGGCGTCGCGTGATGCCTACGACGTTCTCATTCCAATAAAAAAATTCTTAATAAAATAACCGGCCGTATATAACCTTTGCTTCAATCAAATTTATCTATAAAAGATGATATAATAACCATGCACTCAAAGTACGTAAGTTTATTAAACGATGACTTTAGTTTTTGAGCGATCGTCGAACGATTCGCATCGCAAATTTTAATTGTTTCTAATTTGTATTTATAAAAATATATTATGCCAAGAAATATTCTTTTTAGCTATGAAACGTTGGTTCATGCTATTGCCGGTGCTACCGTAAGTATTTCAATTTAATGTAGATAATATTAATTATCTTTGTATATTTAGGGTAGCATTTTTTCAATGTCTGTTTTCTACCCGTTGGACACAATTAGATTTCGATTACAAGGTGAGCTCTATTATTCCTGAGGTTAATACTTAAAATAAACCATTAATTACTTTTAGTTGAAGATAACAACAATAAAAATCTGAGTACTTTTGAAATTTTAACACAAATTCTCAAAACAGAAGGAATGTAAGTTTTTTGCTTCACCACTTATTTATAATAAAACATTTTTTTGTTAATAGTGAAGCCCTTTATCGAGGATTAGCTCCAGTTTTAGTGAGTTTAGGTGCCTCAAATTTCGTTTATTTCTATTCATTCCATGGCCTTAAAGCTCTACAAAAAAGTTCCACTTTTGGAGACTTAAAACTTGGGATAATAGCTGGAATAATCAACGTTTTAGTTACTTGCCCATTATGGGTAGTAAATAGTCGTCTAAAAGTACTTAAAAAAAAATTTAAAAAAACCTAACCTCACTTAATCTCTAATTTATAATTTTTTAGGTTGAAAAGCAAAAATTCTTTACCGGTTTATTAGATGGCATGGTTCATATAATGAATACAGAAGGATTATCAGCATTATGGTCTGGAGTAGGATCCTCTTTAGTTCTAGTCTCAAATCCAGCTATTCAATTCACAGTTTACGAAGCGTTAAAACGTAACATTCCAGCGAAATCAACTCTCGCTTTCTTTTTAATGGGTGCTGCTGCTAAAGCTGTGGCTACAATCTTGACTTACCCAATTCAATTGGCTCAAGCAAGACAACGTCATGGGAAAAATAAGATCAACACTTTAGTATTATTGTATGCTTTGCTCAAGAAAAAGGGGCCAGCTGCTTTGTTTAGTGGACTCGAAGCCAAACTCTATCAAACTGTTCTAACTGCAGCTCTTATGTTTGTTATGTACGAAAAGATTGTACGGTTTGTGTTTATTATATTTTTAAGAAACCATAGAAAGAAACTTGCTTAGTTCAATCATGTGTATTTATTTTATTATTTATTAATCTAAATACGCTTATGTATAATGTATAAACATGTATAATATTCTGTTATACATGTTTGGAAATAAACCAAAGATTATAATCAATCTTTTGTGAACACCCCTGGATATTCTTTTGTGAATGTGGATTGTGTGATGTGTTTTAAATAAATTTTAATACTCTTATTTGTCTTTTTATTTCATAATTAATTACTAATTTAAGTCTTAATAATATATTTTTAAAGTAACAAAGTTTTTTTTTTATAATTTTCTAATTCCATTTTTATGTAACTAACTTCACGTTAAAACCGATTTATTTTAGAACATTTAATTAAAATCAATTAACGCTAAATAAATACACCTTAAAATATAATTAAAAACAATTTTATAAAGATACTTTAAATTATATTGTTATATTAACCAAACTTTAATTAATTTTGTAGCTAACTTCATTTCAATCTTCCATAGTTATTTTAAAACGTCAAGTTGACAGTTAAAATGAGTGATCAAACTTAACTAAAGCCCCAAAAAGAGCGAGTATGCGTATAAAACCTTTTGGATTTCTAGTGGTTTTAGTAAACATAGTTTTACTTTATTCAACCTGGCGTCTGTTCGCAAATTTTATCATATTTTCTACTCCCGATAAAGAAAATTCTCACATAACCTCAAAGTCGAACGTGCAAGACTTGGGTGATCTCGTAACAATAATAATAAGAGATTTTCAACTGGATAGAAACGATGTTATCCCGACTATTTACTCTTTTACGAAAATCTACCCCAACGTTAAAGTCTACGTTATCTCAGATGAGGCACCGTACCCACCTTTGGAGATTGACGATAACATAAACATGACTAACATTAAAATATTGAGTTTAAAACCGTCGTTAAGCGTTTCATATAAAGATAAGTATCCCATTTTTGAGATTGATACAAAGTATGTTTTATTTTTACCTGATTCCACTCGATTACCTCATAGGGATATTTTAGAATACATTTTACATGAAACTAATAAGCCCAATGCCATTTTGGCTATTCCTGTTACTTACACCGATTTAAAATGTTTTAATGTTAGTCATGAAACTAAATTGTGGATGGTTCGACTTGATATGATCAAAGGGTATCAATGTGGGCTGGTTTCTGGGAAACATGCCACTATTTTGAATAGTGGAATTTTAAATGAATTGCCAAATGCTCTTTTGGCACCATTTCCATTATCTTTATATCTACAAACATCATATTTAAATTATAGTGTAAGTTTTTGCATGAATAATTTAATGTACTACTTTTTGATGTTTTATTTTATTTTGTTGATGGTTTTTAGTTTGAATTAGATATATTATGGTGACCGGAAAGTAATGTCCTTTTAAAGCTAGAATCATCGATCTAGCACCACCGCTCGCTTTGCTTTCCCCAACCCCCTCCTTCCTTGAGCATCCAATGTTTATAAACTGTGGCCTGTTTATGTTAACTTTATATTCAGTAAATATATTTATCAATTAGTTTTAGCCCAATTTAATCCTTTCTAATCCATTTTTAATTAAAAATATTATAAACAAAAGTAGATCAAAACGCCAAAAGTGTTTATAAACATTCCGTGTATGTTAATAGGACAGTTTTTAACGTGTTATAGCGCGTTATTAACGCGATTAGCCAGACTTAACAGGAAACATAGAACTAGAAACTTTCGGATGAAACATGCGTTTTTTGGAAAAGTAACATAAATTTTGGATGCTATGTTGCAACCTTCTTCATAAACAAGTTCCAAGTGATGAAATCAGTCTAGTTTTAGTTGAATAAAAATATACAAAGTAGCGCCGAATAAACACTAAAACTAGAATTAATACTATCACCAAAACTAACACTAGACCTAGAACTAGAAGCATTCAGGTTTAGGCGTCTTGAGAGACACACAATAGTAATACTATCACCAGAACTAACACTAGACCTAGAACAAGGAACATTCAGGTTTAGCCCCAACGCTGTACGTCTCTCAAGATGGCTAAACCCGAATGTTTCTAGTTCTATGTTTAGTGTTAGTTCAATAAAAGTATACAACAACCTACTATCCCTGCAAAAAGTCAAGGCCCCTCACTTTAGCGATCAATATCTTTGTAACCGCTGGATGGAAAAAATTGCGGTAAAGTTTATTGTAATCAGTGAACATTTCTGCGTATCACATGTTAATTTGAAAATTTTCGGGTCCGCGGGTTTTCTTTTATCGCGAGTTAACCCATTAAGGACCGCTGATAGAAATAATTGAAAAAAGTCGATTATTTTTGTCAATAAATGTGTGTTTATAAACCATCTTTAAAATATAAAATAATACGTAATACATTTTGATAGATTTTTTGAACGTTGCGTTAACGCAACGTTGGGACTAACTCTACACTAAACAATTATTGGTGATAATCTTTAAAATAATGTGAATGTAAAGAAATTTTACATTTGATACACATAAATACCGTCGTACTTTGACATACCCTGCAGCGTCGTCTCCAGTTTTCATTGTTTCTTTGAATTATGTGTCCGATATTATCCAATCTGGAGGTTGAAGGTACAGAAATTGTGGAACCGCGTCCGTTAAATCCGTAATTAAAGAGAAACAGAAATAAGCTCTGCGGAGTGCCGGGGGTTCCGTCCAATCGGAACAGATGGTGCGTCCCAGACAGGACGTCGCGCCTTATTTCTTTATGTAGGTAAGATAAAGGTGCGATGTACTGTCTGGGACATACCATCTGTTCCGATTGGACGGAACCCCCGGCACCCCGCAGAGCTTATTTCTGTTTCTCTTTAATTTGTAATTCCATTAAATCGCTCTTCAAAAATTAGGTAGCTCCAATTTTTAAAAACTAATAACGGAATCCGACAACCGACATTTTTGGATATATTTTGGTCAAATCCGCGAGGAAATCCACCCTGCCGTTTTCGACATAACGGCGTGTTACTAAACCGCGATTTTCCGAGAAACTATATGGAATATAGAAAAAATAAAATATGCCACTCATTAAGAACACATCAGGCTACCACCTGTTCAAAATTAAAAATTTTTCGTATGATAGTTTTCGAGAAAAAAACCCCAAAGTTGCCGGTACTCTCAAAAATCGGGTACTTTTTTCATTTAACTCGTGATAAAAAGAAAACTGTGGATCCGAAAATTTTCAAATTAGCATATGTTACGTAGAAATGTTCAGTGATTACAACAAACTTTGTCGCAATTGTTTTTATCGAACGGTTGCGAAGATATAGATCTCTAAAGTGAGGGACCTTGACTTTTTGCACGGATAGTAGAGATGAACGATATATCGATACCGGTTACTGTTCACCGGTGATTTTAAAATCACTGTCACCACCAGTTTTTTTCTTAGCAGTTACTAGTGGTTTTAATGAAACTGACAAGAAATATTCGTTTCTAAAAACACCGCTGCTCCGGTGACATGATTCGCGCGCTACCTATAACAGATTTCTTGATTTTCGGGGAATACCCAACATATGCATTGAATGTATTATACGTGTTTTACTTGTATTATAATTATGTTATTACTTAGTGTTCAGTTGAGACGGTAAATCGAGAATAATTTACATATAAAGTGTACAGTTGTTGTTTGTTATGTTTCTTTGTGCATTTTAAATATTAAAATGTTTAAGCCGTTAAAAAGATGATAGTGTCTACGCGACCTGTAATATTTGCAAAAGACTATCGTTTAAAACCACAAACTCAAACTTGAGACAACATGTCATATGAGCTGAACAAGAAATACGATCGATCATAAACTGTGAAACATGTTACTTCGGAAGCTACTTCAAGTTTACCATCTATTTCTCAGGGATTACTAACTAATAAGCAACAGCAGCAAACAATAACAGGATATTTACCGTCGCCGGTAAATATTCACATCAAAATCCATTGACGATAATTTACTAAGATTATACACGATTTTCAACCATTTAGTGTAGTTGAAGACAAAGGATTCAGAGAATTTGTAAAATCACTAAATAAATCATATGAGCTGCCTAGTACGCATAAAATTTCAAAAACGCTAATTCCAAATTTATTTAAAAAATGCTGTGTAAAATGCTAAGAAATGGTAAGAGGTTGTAGATTCTTATGTCTGACAACCGACTGTTGGACCTCCAAAAACACTAAAAGTTATAGAGCTTTAACAGCGCATATGTTAAATGAAAACTTTGAATTAAAAACGATTTTACTAGATTGTAAAATAATGGACGAACACCATACAGGTAAAAACTTAGCCATTGAAATTAGAAACATAATTTCAGATTGGAATGTAGCAGATAAAGTTATACTAGCTGTTTCTGACAATGCATCGATTATTGATGAACAAGAACTGAACCAGTTTGGATGTTTTGCTCACTCAATAAATTTAGTATTGCAAAATTGTTTGGAAACATCTCATATTTCTCTACTTATATCAAAAATAAAAAGGATCGTCTCCCACTTTAAAAGGAGCACCATTGCATATGAAAAATTATTAAATTATCAAGAAAATTTCGGAAAAACGTCATTAAATTTTTGCAAGATGTTTCCACTCCCTGGAATTCGACTTATTATATGTTGATCCGATTTGTCGACTTAGAAAATGCTATTAGAAGTACCATACCAATATTGGATGCAGATATTTCTGTGTTAAGTTCAGATGAATGGAAAATGTGCCAGAAATTATGCGAGAAGATGTATTGCCATGAAGATCTACTCAAATGGTGGCGTGAACACGCATATAATTTCCCATACCTGAAACAAATAGTGCAAGACAAATTTTGCGTACAGGCACTTCAGTTCCCTGCGAGAAGCTATTCTCTAAAGCTGGAATAATTATTTCAAAACAAAGAAATAGAATTAGTCTAGAAAAAGTAAGAGAATTGATTTTTCTAAATACTAATCGATTACATGTAGTGATGTAGAAAAGTGACAAATTGCTTTGAATTTTTATTTTGTTATTATTGTTTGTTTTATTTCGTTTAGGTTTATTTCGTTTTTATTACTTTTGTAGTACAGGAATATTTACACTTAATCAAAATAAAGTACTCTGGTATGACTATTCTGCTGTAGTGTTATTTCTTTTATTCTATTTTTAATCATTTATAACGGAAAACACAGTTAAAAAGTTTAATCTTTATTATTATTAAAACTGGTTTCAGACCGTGCACATCATTTAGAGAGAACTAGTAATATTCGGGTTAAGCAGTGCGTCTTTTGAAAACGTGTTTGACATTTCGGATGCCATTGCAAAATGGCATTTCTGAGAAACAAGTTCGAAGTGACGAAATGGCTGAGTTTAATCCAGTTGCTATTAATAATAACCGGGAATTTATTAATAATAAAGTTGTGTCTTTTGGTAAATTTAAATAAGTTGTAATAATTGTACATGCGATAAAAACATTTTGTTATAAAGTATTTCTTTTGTTTTGGACTTCTATGGCATTTGGAATTACAAATGATTTGTGACTTTTTACATTTGCAGCGATTTGAATTACACCCGCCTATACAATTGAAATCCCTAACTACCTAATTACAAACTCAACCGAGCACACTCTCTTAAAGTTATTTCATTATTAGGAACATCGAAAAAAAATTTAAATTGTACAATTTTTCATTTTGAGTAGACATTATAACTGTTATAACATTGCGGCTGTCTGCTTTACCTCTTACATCTGGAATTCTTATAAGTACTTTTTTTCTACAGTAGCTACTGGATACTTTGCTTTTGAAAAGCATAACGTTTTACTAGCTTGGTTTTCTAGTGCGTACTTTGCAGCGTTTCGAGCTTTATAAATGCTTCTAGATCATTTTTTGTGTAAAGAGGTTAAATCACCTTTTTCTACTGAACTATTTTGAACTTGGTCGTTTTCACCGATTTTTCTTGTTGTGATTAAATTAATAGCCGAAATTCCAACAGTTGTTCATTGCACATTTTCAGTAGGGTTGTGTAATTCCATTTCCACATTGCCTTCATTCTCTGCTTCATTGTCTTTGTCTACGTTTGGAGCTATTCTTTCAAGTACGATATCTGTATTATGGTGCTCTTTTGACACCTCTTCAAGTTCTTCCACTATAACGATATCGGAAATAGTATCTGTTGACAAATGTATTTTCAAGCAAACTTTGGTTCCAGAAGATGAGCCCTATTTTTCATAAATTGGATACATTTAATTTCTTTAGACCATTGTATGGTATTATTTGTTTCAAGCCAAGTAAACAACATATTTTCTATGTCCTGGTTGGCTCCCTCAACCGAACCTTGTGTTTAGCTAAGTATCGATTTGCCATGAACGAGTTTGAGTTCACGCCACATTTTACACATGTCTTCAACAACTTTATTTGCAAATTCTCTACAGCTCCAAACATGGTAAATATATTCAGAAGATGATTAATAACTTCTTCGGCTCGTTCTGTTTTAACAGCTCTGAGTTGAATAAACTTCGTCAGATGGGGTTGATAAACCATTATAAACTTATAGTCGTCGTCTGCTTGAGACTGCATATTAATTAGACGCTCAACTTTTTTTGACAGGATTTAAATACCGGGTGTCCGCCGGGAAGGTATACTACTTTGTTTTGCCGCCATTTTGGTAAACATTAGTCTTGACAGTTCATATTTGGCAGTCGTGAAGTAGAGGCGTGGCAAATTTATTATGGAAAAATATTCGGTAAACCAACGTGTTTTAATCGTTAAAACATTTTATAAAAATCAATCATCGATTACTGTGACGATGAGAAAGTTACGTGAAATTTTTGGTAGAAACAACGTGCCAACAAGACGCACTATTTATTGTGTAGTGAATGATTTCGAAGAAAGAGGGACTGTAGTTGATAGGCCCCAGCATGGACCACAACGTACTGCAAGATCGGCTGAAAACATTACTGCTGCTCAAGAAAGTGTTCAAAACAATCCATGAACCTCAATTCGACGCCGTGCTCAGGAGCTTGGTCTTCAAAGAACAACTTTGGCCATAAGGATTTGCATTTGTTTCCATTTAAGATTCAGTTGACACAAGAGCTTCTTCCAGAAGACCATTTACGCCGCCGTACATATGCCAATAGGATGTTACAGCTCGCCCATAACGGTAACTGTCAATGGGGAGCGATATCGTGATATAATTGAAAACTTTTTAACGCCACAACTGCATGCTTTGGGCTTGATTAACATGTGGTATCAACAAGACGGTGCCACATCGCATACAGCCTGGATTACAATGGAATTACTGCGAGACCTCTTTCCACAACAAGTTATTTCAAGAAATGGTGATGTTGATTGGCCTCCACGGTCGCCTGATTTGACTGCTCCGGACTTCTTTTTGTGGGGATATCTGAAAAGCAAATGTGTGAGAATGTAATGAAAAATGTGCTCAAAAGGGCTCGCATTCGTGAGGCTAACAGAGGCGGGATTTATCTGATATTGTATTCCATACATAATTGCCGACATTACATAAAACATTTATCAATATAAGATACATTCTCTTTCATTTAATCAAAAATTATAAACAAACAAAATAGTATACCTTCCCGGCGGACATCATGACAATTTCTACTGTAATGTTCTTATATTTTGCCTTAACTTCTTTCATCATTCTGTTTCGTCCTCCATGGCTAATTCCAATATAGATTTCGTGAAATTTTCTTCCAAAAATGTGTAATATAAAATCGGTTGATTTTCTTTTTTAACACTTATTATGAGTTTTCCTTCAGTTTCAATTTTTAAGATATCATATCTCGTTAACCGTTGATATTCTTCAGGGGATTTACCAAAACTCTTTTCCTTATTTTCTTTAACCTTTAATAAAAAGGAATAATATTCTTCTCTTGTAAATAATCTGTTCATTATTTCCTCTAAGTTACAGTTCTTATTATACTTAAAAGTAAAATAAAGAATTAAACTTCGAAAATGCACTGAACGCGAAGAGCCTAAATTAAACCTAATTCTTGCCATGTGTGTACCCACTTTACAGCAGAAAGTGCGTAGCGAATGTAGATGATATTTCTCTATCTCCTTTTTTCCATTTACCAAAGATACTTGAATTATTAATAATTATCGGTTTATGTGATAAATTCTTATACGTTAATGACTACGACCATTTTATTAGGTTTCGTCATGATTTAGGAAACACCTTGCTGTTATTGGTGGTTAAACCACTCTAAATCAGATGAGTGGTTTATGTACATACTCCTAGTGATCTTTCTGGTTATTCTGTGTCTTTGGGTGTGCTTTTCAAGATAGCGGAATTTAAATCGAGGTCAAAAAATACAGTAGGTACCTCCAACATCAATGGAAACGACATCAGTGTCCTTTCTGGTTATTTTGTGCCTTAAGGCCCCTCGCACACCAACGCTACTCAACCTATGAATAACTCAGCATATTGAATCTCCAGGCGACCGGTTGCCGACCACATCGATAAATATCTCTGCTTATATAATTACAATGTTTTAATTTATTTTCGAAAGGGTGCAGAAAAGGCTTGCACGCTGCTTCTTTTTTCTATAGTAGTTATATGCTGCAATAATATCGTCATCACTTGATTGAAGGCTTTGCACTCAACGCTACACGTGGTATGACTTTCCACTAATGACCGTAGAACCATTTTATTACAGTATTGTTGTAGTTATGTAGCGTTGGTGTGCGAAGGGCCTAAGATGTCTAAGGCTACATAGTCGATTGTTCGTCAACGAAACAACTTAGTCGGATTGGTGTGAAATCGCAATGCATTATCAATTTAAAACCGACTCAGTAAATCTGCAGTTATAGTGTAGGTGCATATACAACATAACTGCATATCAACTCAACTTTTATATTTAGGCTAGACACACACAATCGATTTTTAGTCGGCCGATAGTTTAGTCCATGGTCATAAATGTATTAAGTTTAATGTAGCTGCACACAAAACACAACTGCATATCAACTCGATTTTTACATTTAATCTTAATATATTTCTGTCCATAAACTAATCTATCGGCCGACTGAAAATCGAATGGGTGTGCCTAGCCATAAGCTTAGTATATTTATGTCCATCGACTAAATTATCGGCTGACTGAAAATCGATCGTGTCCTAGCCTAACATGACTTTGTTGTATACAATGATCTGATAGATGGCAATCGAATATTGACATGCGCAGAAAAACATTACTTTCCGGTTCGTCTAATATAAAAAATCTTGCATTAAGATCTAATATTTTATAGGTTAAAATTTTACAAGGTGTCATTTTTCAAGATGGTAAACCTCCGTTAGAGAATCGTCATGTTCAATGGATGAGAAGACTTGAAGAAGAAGCATTAAAAAATTTATATCGTTCCTTTAAAATAAAATTAGTTAAAGAAGACGAAACAGAACAATGGTATGGGTGTACTAAAAATACATCCCGTTGCTTTCCTCCAGTTGTTTCTTCATTACCATCATATTTAATTGAAAAAAAATTAACTCCTCCATGTTGTATGTCAAATTTACGTAAAACCGCTTTACATGTTTTTAAGAATCTTGAAGATTGTGGTATAAGATATTGGTTGGAAGGCGGTAGTTTATTGGGGGCTATGAAACATGGTGATATTCTTCCATGGGATTACGACGTTGATGTAGGGGTCAATAGGGATGATCTATCTAGATGTGTTTGGTTGGAAAGAGCGAAATTTAAACCTGTGGTTGATTTGAAAGGTTTTTATTGGGAAAAAGCTGGGGAGGGGAACTATTTTCGCGTTCATTATAGTAAAAAGAATCGAATTTTTGTGAACATATTTCCGTTTTATGCTAAAAATGGAACAATGTCTTTAGACGGTTGGAACTTGAATCGTAAACGAATGGAATTTCCCGATCATTTTTTGCATCCCATGTCGAGTATTAGTTTTTGTGGCCGAAACGTACCGAGTCCTAATAATATAAGAGATTTTTTAGAGTTAAAGTTTGGTAGAGGGTCAATTGAAAATGCCCAATATCCTGATTTAAATGTTATGCATTTTCCGTAAAAAAAAAATTACATAAAGAATAGTTTGCTCTTAGATTTTTAGATCGATCTTTCGAAAATAACGATCTTAACATGTGTTATTTCCTGTGATAAAAAATGAATAATATAAGTTACATTTTTTGTGCCAAAACGTTCAAATATATTGTGATTTGATCAGTATTATTTACTTGCTCATTTGAAGAGAACCATTTTTATTGTAGGTTTTTAAAAAAATACGCTTGTTATTAGAGTGAAGAAAACTATAGACGTTATTATCTATATGTCTTTATTAAATGTTATTAGATTATAAAAAGAAAATATACAAAAAATATTTGAGTTGTAGGGTACTCTCTTGTACACTTAATATTGTTGTAAATAAATATTATTATGCAGATGATGCCTTCTATTTTTATTTTTAGTTTAGAGTAAAGTTTACCCATATTTTCCATCGCAGAAAACTTAATGTAAAGGCAAAAATATATTCAACATTTCTTGAAATACGCCCAGGAACATTAAATAAATAAAAAACTTTATGAAATATAATTTATTGATTTCTTCATGCAGATTATTAATTTGTACAGAGTGATTGAAAGCACAAATATTGTTAAAGCTGGATGACGTACAAACTCAAGCACAAATAGTTTTCAACTATTTGTACTTACAACGACTCAAGCTAACATCAAGTCTAAACAGGAGTCCTTGCCTGGCACACCGATGTTTCAAAGACAGTCGAATGACACCTACCGACATAAAGGAACAAGACCTTGGAGCAATACTAAGGTTCATCAAGAACCTTAGTATTGCTCCAAAAAATCAAAAATTCCTTTCTACAATCAAACGTATCGCGGGGTTTTACAATTAAAGGTAAGCTTTATAATTAGACAGAACTTTATTGAATACTTCATAGTTATGGTTCCTTGGCGGCAAGAAAATGCTTCAAAAGGAATTATACAATAATGTCTTCTGAAGAATAATAACGTCTTTTTGTGAAACAATTTGAAACAGTTACTTGTCGATGTTTAGTATAGATTGAAATTTTCTTTTGTGTACAGAAAATGTGAGTAAAACGAGCCGAAATTAATTGTTAACTAATGTAAATGTATTTTTCACATATTGACAGGCTTAGCAACTACACCAGAGTTTCATCGGTTTGAGCAGACCGACTTAGTGGTTCAACTGTACGTTTTCATTTTCACTGATTCTGGCAAAATCATTACCACTTTAGCTCAGAAATCAGGACGCATTTTTTACGAAAGATCCTACATTCTGAGGGTATTAAATTTTAGAATTTAATTAAATCTAAATCAATCCAACATGTTTTTATTGAATGTTAAGGTGATACAATTAAATTTACAATTTCTTGAAAAATAAATAAAGTGATATTTAATTATGAAATGTTAATATTTTCTACCATCTATGTTGAACCCCAATACTCCAGTTGGGTTTAGCCCTATTTGGTCCTCTAACAACTTTACTCCATGATCCAGTTACATGAGTTTGATCAGTTTTGTGACCAGCATTAATACTGGTAACAGTATTCTGTCCAACTTTATCAACGCTACCTCCGACACTCCACGGATAAGGACTTTCAGTGCTGCCGCCTATTTGTGTACCACCTGGCGCAAAAGATCTTTTATTTCTAGCATGGTGATCAACATCTATCAGTTCATATTCTTCCGGTTCGTAATGTCCTACAAGGAAGTATTGTTGATATTGATCTTCAGGAATCACAAAAGCAGCGGAAAATGCTACCAAGGCGAACAAAGCAATGCACTTGATCATCATCTGTAATAAAACGAAAAGAATATATTTAATCGTCCACTTTCATTATAACTTATTATCAAGAGTAAGATACTTACTGTTTAAGAGATTTTTGTTCCGATTGAATGCGTTGAAATCAAATTGCCGAGCTGTGCAAACGAGAGATTTAACTTTATGATTTGAAACGAGAAGTCCGCCGAATATATACGCACCGGACCAGCGCAAAAAGTGTTGCATATTGGATAACGGGGAATTACTACGTCCTACTGCTTAATCGTTGTTTCTTTTTCGGAGATTTATCTCCGTTGTGGAGTCCCAGAGACTCGCACAATCTAATCTAATGTTTATTGTCCTTTTCATTCTTACAAGGGGAATTCCATTCCGTCTTAAATAAATAAAATTCTCAGTACAAACTAGATATGAAGTTATTTTAAGATTAATACAATTATTACTCTGCTAATCTGCTAAGTAGGCGATAGAATACGATTTTATAGTAAAGTGGCTAACTTGTTCAATGATACATATCCAAATCTTTCTACTATCCATAAGGTAGAAAACTGGTAGTGTAAAAGATGGACTACCAAGCGATTATTGCAACTTTAAACACAATGCAGATCTTTACTGAAGATTCACGTGCATCTCATGTATAGAACTACTCAAATATACAAGGGTGGTACGCTAATTAGCACACCGTACTGAATCTAGTTAAAGGCGTATAAAATCGAAGCAAAATGAAAGTTTTCTATAAGGAACTTAAGAGTATTTCTTTGTTTTTTTAACAAATAAATTTATTTGTTAAAAAACAAAGAAATATACAATTTTTTTTACACAAATGTTTTATTTGTAAATAAAACTTAAACATCACTTAATAAGGTTGAAAATATTCAGAATATATATAGAGTGTAAGTTGAATATTTATTTACTATTTGGTTGGGTACCCTTTTTGCCATTTTCTGCCATCTTGCTGGATAACGTCCCATAAGTCTTGTAACGTCTTTGGTTTTAGCGTCATAACTCTTCTTGGAATAATTGCCCATAAGTTCTCAATTGGATTAAATCTGGGCTCTGTGCAGGCCAAACCGGCAGTGGTATTGCTTGACTGTGAAATCATTGTTTCACCAATACTGACCTATGGCAGAGCGTATTGTCTTGCTGGAAAACCATTTTCGAATAAATTGATAACGGCAAATTTTCCAAATATGGGATAAGGTGTTTTAACAATAAATTTTGATATGCCATTGCATTCAGCTTTCCATTTATTTGAACAATAGGTCCAACACCACGCTCGCTAAAACAACCCCATACCATTACACTTTCTTCGGCGAATTTCACTGTCTTTCTCGTGTACTTTGGATCTAATTCTTTATTTGGAGTACGTCGCATATGACATATACCATCAGGTCCGCATAGATAGGATTCAGATTCGTCGCTCCAAATTACGGAATTTCAGAAAGAGGGAAGAGATTGAATATGGCTTTTTACGAATTCCAAGTGCTTTTTATGGTTACCAAGCGAAACCTTCGGTTTTTTTAATCTTTGGCATCCCTGGAGATTGGTTTCCAGAAGTTATCTGACAGTCCTACTTGCAATGTTGACACCATATTCCTGCTGCATTGTGGCTCTTATCTGTAAAGAAGTAGCAAAAAGATCTTTGGGCGCCTGTCAGACAATTAGAAAATCTTCTGTTTTTGAGGTTTTTCTCCGTCTTGATGGTTTTTGATTTGAAAAACTTTTATTATTTCGATAATGTTCGAGCGCATTTCAAACTTTTTTAGGCGAACTCCCAATAGATCGGGCAATGTTAGTTATATTTTTCTCTTTTTCAAACATCTTCCATATTAGGCGTCTCATCTCAATTATGTTTAAACAATTTTCGTTTAAATGGACTTAACTGACGTTTATACTGCTTGCAAATCAAATTCAACTTTCACAAAGACTGCGACAAGTCCACAAGGATAGTCTAGCTTTGTGCAAAACTCTCTGCAAATGTCCATTCCATGAGAGGGTTGGGTTGGGTTAATCAAACATCAACTTCTTTTAAGTTAGGTAAGTAGTGTAAAAAGGCCGATTCTGGACAGGAAGTGATCCTGATCCTCCCTCGCGCATGCGCAGTGAAGCGGATATGACGTCAGCGCATGCGCAGTACGTGTATGTAATGTTGGTTGCCTACCTCGTGGGGCGCCACCTAGCGGTAGATAGCGGAACTAACC